GATTTTTTGACACCTAAGCCCCCTTTCCGTAGACCAGGTCACATATATTTAACCTAAAAAAATTTTATTTCTGTTTTTAGCTAAAAAAAAAAGTTTAGAAAACTTGTATTTTCAAAGCCAAAAATGCTTGAAAATCAAATTATTTAGATAAAACGGCGCGCCCTTTAAACTTTCTTGTCTTATTTACGAAATTATATTACAAATTAAAAATCAAAATTTATTTGAACAAAATTACATTTTTTCCAAACGCACCTTAATTTTACTCTTAAAAAGAGCATGAATGTCAGTTAAAAAAAGGGTATATTTTTTTGCACATAATTATGCATAAAAAATTTTCACTTAAAAGGTTATGTATTTAACAATTATTAGTATAATAAACCTGAAAAAATAAAGCTCTTGTTTTGAGCAAAAAGAAATCTTTTTTTTTCGAAAATTTATATTTTTATAGCAAAACATTATTAACAAATTAAAATTGTTAGCACAAAAAGCCAGAAAAACGTCTTGTTTTATTTGCTTTGCTACAATAAAATTCAAATTTATTCGAAGACAGTTGCACATTTTCCAGTGAATGTTAAAAAATATATTTATAACAATAAAGTGTAAAATATCGAAGTTGGTTGCCCAAGGCCAACAAAATTTAAGCTTTGAAAAAAGCGAAAATTCATATTGAAAAATATCAGATAAAAAAATATACACATATGTATGTATATAAGAGGATTTAAAAAGAACAACTTTTTGCTTAAACATTTTTGTGTAATTTCTTATTTGAAAAACAATCGCCAACCAAAAAAAAAATGTTTAGCTTAATAAAATAGTAAAGCAATTTAATAAAAAAAAAAAAAAAATGAGTTTAAAAAATAAATTTTTGCTTATAATTTTTTTTTTGAAAAATTTTATTTTTCAAAACAATAAAACGAAATAAACATTACATACATATGTATGTATATGCTGAATTGTTTTATTTTTTCAAGTTTGATATTGATCATTTTTCAGCGTTTTGCACACAGCTTATAAATATAAAGCAGTTCAATTGTGAATAATTTAAGAATCAAAAAGGTATGAAAATTTGTGCTAAGAAGTAATAAATTAATTTTTATTCAAGACAGAAAATAAAGTTTCGGTAAAGCTTACTATTTTAAAAGTACTGTTTTCTTTTTGAAGCTTTAAATTTTTATATTTTGTTTTTTGAGGCTGAAAACCTTCGATGTTAGTGCCTAGCTTATAAGATTATTTGTAAAATTTATTTTAAAAACAAACTGTTTATTTATTTTATTTATTTATTTATTTGTTATGTCTTACGACTTAATAATACAACTATGATATTCGTACATATGTATATGAATTGTAATGTTCTTATTGCAAAAATTATCAATAAAATATAGAATTATGTATACAAAAACTATATATATTATATTACATATGTCTATATTGGGCCGCATGAATAAAAATATGCAATTGCCCCCTCCAAAAAGTTCCGACCTTCCACTTCAATTTAAAAAATCGAGTACAAGGTCGGAAATTCCCAGAAAACGCAATTGCAGTTCCCAATCATACGGCAGAGCATTCAAATTAGGCAAGTGGTCTGAACAGGCAAGTTCCAGGCCATATTGTTAGGGCAGTTGGAAAGGACTAGTTTCCAATCTGCACCTTCCCTTCTCACATTGTTTCTTCAGTTGTTAAGGCAGTTGGAAAGCACTAGTTTCCAATCTGCATCTTTACTTTTCATATTGTAGCTTCAGTTGTTTGGGCAGTTGGAAAGAACTACGTTCATATTGTCGGTTCGGTTCGATTAGGATTTCCGATGTTATGCACCGTGTCTGAATGGACTAGATCCAGAGCAGCACTGTTTGATAGGAGGACGGTGCTTCGGGGATTGGTGTTTCGACTCTGTCGAGATTTGCAGATTCAGCAAGCTGTCTGAGTGGATTGGATCCAGAGCAACCCGGCCGGATGGAACGGATAGGTAGTGTTCGACAGTGATCAAGTAATGATCTCTGGAAGCTGGCAATGCTTTCACAATTTCTTGTTTGTGGTGGTAGTTCGTTAAAACACTTTAATCCTTTGTAGAATATGTTCATTATATCCACTTCTGTCCTATATAACGGCAATCTAAAGCTATTATTTTCCCTAAGTATGTATGAATGAGTTTCATTTATATATCTGAGATTGTCGCTCAGGTAGTCCGGCAACCGACAATTCTTTATATTGGATACGAATTTCATGGCGTGATAAAAAATTTGCTGCTTAACACTCAGCCAGTTCATATCGGCGAGCATCTCTCGTGTGGGTGCATCGTGGCGCTTATTCACTATAAATCGCATTGCTCTATTTTGCATTTTTTGTAACTTGTCGACTTGTGTATCGCTTGCCATGAAAAAGATCATTGAACAATATATGAAGTGTGGTTCTATTATGGACCTATACACTAGTGTTTTATATCTGCTTCCTAATAATAATATTTAATAATAAATTTTATATGGAGAAACTAAAATTTGTATTTAAGGAAAACATTACAAAAAAATTGCAGTTTAATGTTTTGAATTAAAATTACTACTGCGTTTTTAATTAAAATAAAACGATTGCGAATTTAAAATTTTTTTTTATTGAAAGTAAAAAATTAAAAAATTTACACAAAATATGTATTTATGTATAGGCTCAACCAATTTTTCTTTTTGTCATTTTTGCACTAGAATTCCGGAATTAAATTAAAGCATTGGCTATTAATTTGCTGATTAAAATAAAGCACTGGCAGCACTTTAATACCAATTCAATTTGCAAAGCTCACTCTCTCATAAAGAAATGTTCACTCAAACCAATATCCCATCTTTGCGGCCACAAATGTTCGAACAAGAAAGCAAATTAATAACTAACTCTATGACAGGAGTACTTTGTTTACTAAAACAAAAACAACAGCAACAAAAAGCAAAGCAAACAAGAGCATCAAAAATAACAACAAGCAGTGTAGCCGAAACCCAAACAAATAATTAATTAGTCAATGTAACGCAAGAAAATAGGAAAACGTGCTCGAAATAACAATGGCAGAAAAAAAATAGAAACAAAAGAGAAAATAGAATAAAGAAGAGCAACTGAATTTTCGCCAGAAGGATGTAAAATATTCTTACGAAGTTAAGACTGTGAAAGGAAAATTCCATAGAGGAGAGGGGCTTATATAAACACAATTGTGTGAGCTTGGAGCTTGTGACAGCGTGGTATTGATTGATTGGTGAAGAGCCGAAAGTTTTTCGCTTTAAATAAGGACTCAACGAACATCAAAGGAGCTCGTTAGGTTTGCATGAAAATTCAATTCCATTCAATTTTTAGGTGGGCGTATTAGAAACAAAATTAATTAATAACTCTAATGACAGTATTTCAGCACTGAACACTGGAAGAGGAATCACATATCTCTTAGGAGGAATATGTCGTCCTTGGAAAGGTGGAGTTTTCTAGTACACATGCGATCATGTGAATAGTTCCCATCATATATGAATTCCTCTCGCCCTCAAGACCCACGAAATAAGTTTGGAAGTTAGTCATTTCGCTTCATTGGGTATTGCTATTTAGCTGGGAGAATCTAAGTTTTTCCTCTCGATGATAACTAGCGCCAGTTCCTTTCGGTGTTAGTGTCACCCATGTAGAAAATTTCGTTCCAATCTTCTAAACTACAGCAGGCCGACTATGTAAGGACTCTGAAACATGAAATCCCTGGATTTAATAATGGTCCTTGTTTAGGCCAGCGTCTTAAATACGTTATTTAAGAGCCACCCTAATATTTAACATTTGAGCTGGGGACTTCTGTACCAAATCCCATCTAGTCTTACAACTTCCTACTGAATAGTCATATCCTGTATAAAAGTGGCTGTTATACATTTAAATTTATGAAGTGAATGACTGGGGTAAGGCTCAATCAGTCCTGAGTCGAGCGGACGTCCCAACTCCACCGGTCAATGTATTCAAGTCGAACACACACACGGCTTTGCATGCAAGTGAGCTGACGGTTTGACGTTTTGAATCAGAGAGAGAGAGAGGGTAGTTGTAGGGATAACAGTAGGAACTAAGATGGCAATAAAGGAGACGGATGGTGACAGCTTGATGTCCTTAATTAGCAGAAGCCGGAGGATCCATTGGTAGATCGTTCGGTGCTTACTGGCAACGGTGAGTATTCTGGTGGCGACTGGTGGACGTGCTGGTGGGTCGTCCGGTAGCTCAGGCAATGGAAGTAGTGAGTGGTAACGAGATCAACGGAAATAACGTCAATTTACACTATTTCCCATAGTGCTGCAAAATTAAGTCAATTTATCTTATTTCCATTGATTTTGTTACCTGTCACTAACGGAAGGATAAAGTTCACACCAATGCTGGTGAGTTCCAAGGAGAGTGCGTATCCATATAACCAACGATCACCCCTCCTACAACTTGCAAAATTGCTATTAAGTAGTCAAGTGGAGTGCGTGGCGCTTTAAAAGTTCGGCGGTATAAGACTGTAAAGAAGTGCAGTGAGTAAACAAAAACATTTCACAAAGCTGGTGGTACACTTTTGACTGCCATTCGAACACTTAGCTGACTATATAAAGTTTAGTAGTAGTACTCGTATAATTTTCGCATCAGAAATTTGCTAAACGCTTGACTGAGCTTCTCCAATTTTTGGTACGGGCCTTAATTTTGTTACACTAATGGAGGGACAAGCAGTTTTACGCCGCCTCCGAATAACAGATGGATTTTATGACAAGCTTTTTAATAGCATAAATGCTCCCGGTGTTTTGCTATTGCCTTCCGTTTGGTATTCGCTATTAGAAAAAAGCTTTTTTGGATGTTGCTCGAACGTGGAGGTGAGGTTTGCCAAACGAAATATACTTGTAAATTTTTTCGATATATTTTTT